TATAGGGTCTCCGGATAGTAATAATTGCACGCGCCTACGTGCAGCCTGCGATTGCTCGGTAATGAATTTTAAGCAATTATCGTCATGGTTAATGTGTCTCCTAGTGACAGAGGTGGGCGATGCGCGGCCAGTAACGACGCATGTGGGCGGCGACGACGACGACAAGCTTAGTATGGATTATGGCTGTCGTGTGAGGATCATCGTGTGCTCTGTCGTCGTTAGCCGTGCAGTGTAATTACACTGATATGAGTCGAGTTGAAACGGTGGCAAGTTTAAAAATAAACCGTGACTTTGGAGTAAGGATTATCGTAAGCATTGTCGTCATTAGCCGTGTAGTGTGATTACACTTGTGTGAGCAGTGTTAACGGTAGCAAGTTTAACATTGATGCATGGCTTTGGAGTAAAGATTATCGTAAGCATTGTACTCGTCAGCTGTGCAGTGATATGAGTTATATGAGCGGTGTTAACCACAGGCACTTGGGACAGAGTCAGTAAAAACTGAAAATAATATAAACGCATGTACATTCACAAATAGGCCCTACTACCGTACCTCTCAATTACAGTTCCAGACTTGTTGTGGTCATTTGTAATAATCAATTTTCCTTCATAAAAAACCTAAACAGCTCGAAACGCCTTCCCCGCTGCGAGTGTGCTGTGTCGCCATGATAATATAATATATAAATTATATTTATATTTTATATATATATTATCATTGCGACACAGTCACACAGCGGGAGCGTTCGGCGTTAGTTTTTATGAAGGAAAGTTGATATACAGTGACGCAACAGTGGAACTGTAATTGAGAGGTACGGTAGTAGGGCCTATTTGTGAATGTCCATGGATGCGTTCATATTATTTTCAGTTTTTACTGACTCTGTCACAAGTGCCTGTGGTGTTAACGCTACCAAGTTTAACATTGAATCATGATTGTGACGATAAGAGCGTTTCTGTCGTTTAATTACGACGTTTTGCTGTAAAATGCAGAAAAACAACTTAGCCAGTGACGACGATAGATACTAATCGAAATGGTGTTGACGACTGCAATACCACTGAAAAGTTTCAGCTGTTAGAACGTGATCGCTCTGACGAGAGTAGCGATGACAGAGAATATATAATATATATCTTCAAGTGCGCATCGTGATCGTGGTGATGGGTGTACCGTTGATATTGGCACAGCGCGATATAATGAATCGCAATATTATCATATTACCAGAAGTAAATAATCACTTTTTTTAAATTATTTAATTATTTTTAATTCCTTATTAATTCCTTATTATTTACTCCTGATATTACTTATAGGGGCCGGATAGACAACGCACACGCTAATTGGATGTGGAACTCAATGGAGCTGACGTGGATAGCGTGTTGATGCAAACTGCGTCGTCAAGTGGCAATGAACAAACTTTCATGACTTAATTGCTGCTGGTTATTGTACTTTGACCGGCATCACGGCGCGTCCTCGATCGATTCTGACGTATATACGCCTCAAGGTCAGCGCTGTATGTATATCGTGCCTAGAGGTCACGACTACCGCTCGTGTATTTTTCGGTTCGTCGCTGCACAATCGAAAAACAAAGGACAAGGCGACTGCGACCGTTAGTTAGCGGTGACCCTGAGTAACAAAACGACAGACAAATCAGCGATAGTTCTCGCAAGCAAGCGTATCGGCGTGGTGGTGGGTGAGTCGCAGTCACGTTGTTTGTCAGAGCTGCTGGTTGTGGTTACGCTTAGTGCGAGTGAGCACGGTCTATGACTATATACTGGGGATCGCTGAACCCTGCTGCTCATGCATGTTTACTGGGAGTCGCTGATGGGCCCCTGTTGAAATTCGCCTGAGTATATCGCGCTGTTGTCCGTGCCGACAGCATACATTTACCGGCGATGCTAAACGGCGAGAAGCTTCGTCGACAGATCGGGAACAGTGTCAACTGCTAGATATCAGAGAGCCGGCCTGATAAGGCGTTAAGTGCTTCGAAGCTTCGACCGAACAGAGAGCAGCAGCAGCAGCAGAAGCAGCAGAAGCAGTAACAGTAGCAGCAGTATCAGCAGAAGCAGCAACAACAACAGCAGCAGCAGCAGAAGCAGCAGTAGTAGCAGCAACAGTAGCAGCAGTATTGACAGCAGAAGCATCAGCAACAGCATCACCATCATCAACAGCAGCGGCAGTAGCATCAGCATCACCGTCAACAGCAGCAGCAGCAGCAGCAGCAGCAACAACAACAGCTGCAGCAGGAGCAGCGACGGCTTCATGTTGCCTGACACGTTTCAGTGAGAGTCAACAGCTTAGACCCTGCAGGCAGAAGCCACATTGGCGTGATCGGCTGCCTGCATTAGACACGAACGTAAACGATATAGCCCTTATCTCGTCAAGCCATCAAAAAATGTTGTAAATAGCGGAGATCTTAAATTGTACGCGGATAAATGGCAATTAGGCAGCGTGGACAGCTGGAGCTAAGAATGGCGCCACTGCGGATCAGTGTTGTGTGATATCTTCGAATATATTTCCCGTGACGCGTACACACACCCACACGTGCGCACACACCCGCACGCACGCACGCCACGAGGTCCATACAGACCTGCACTCACCACACACACATCACACTACACACACGACACTCACACACACACCAACAGAGCACACAAAACACACACACCACGACACCACACACACAAGCACACACACACACACCACAACACACACACACACACACACACACACACACACACACATATATATATATACAAGTGTAGCGTGTAGTATTCCCCAAAAAACAACGAGTGAACCCGTGTCAGGTCTCCGCTAACCTTGATGGCTTCAATAGATCTGGCTAGCGTTAACAACAGCACCGCGAATAGCACGCAGCACACAGCAGCCACATATCAAAATGCAATCACTACGGGCGTTGCGGAGGGAGACGTAGCTACGGCGGCGACGCTGACGTTCGTCGCCGTCGTCATCATCGTCGCCACCGTCGTCGGCAACCTTCTCGTCGTCGCCGCCGTGTGTACGGAGCCGCGACTGCGCAAGGTCAGTAACTCGTACATCGTGTCGCTAGCGGCCGCCGACCTGGCCGTCGGCCTGATCGTCTGCCCGATCATGCTCGCCTACCACCTGCTCGGCGGCTGGACGCTGGGGGTCGTCATGTGCGACGTGCTCGTGTCGGTGGACGTCATCTGCTGCACGGCGAGCATCATGAACTTGTGCGTGATCAGCATCGATAGGTACTACGCGATCACGCAGCCGCTTCGCTACGTCTACAAGCGCACGCCGCGCAGGGCAGCGACCATGATCGCATCCGTATGGCTGTTCTCGTTCGTGATCGCACTCCCCCCGCTGGTCGGCTGGAGGGAGCCGAGACCGGGCCCGATGACGGAGTGCATGATCAGCCAGGATAAGGGCTACACGGTGTTTTCGACGGTGGGCGCGTTCTATCTGCCGTTGATCGTCATGCTAGCCGTGTACTGGCAGGTGTACAGGGCCGCACTGCGACGGCAGATGCACTGGGTGCCCGGTCCGGGCTCCAGCCGTGCCTGCGTGGGGGCGTTGTGTACATCCACGCGCAGTCTTTACAACTCTATCCTCACCGCTGGGGACGAGAAGGAGGAGGAGGAACATGGAAGGAATTCGCCGGGAAAGAGGATGAGCGAGCCGTGGTTGAGCTGGAGGTCCTCGCTTTCCTCCTCGTCTCTATCTCTCAGACATTCGGATGTGGCTTTATCGGCAGCTTCCATTGGCAGACTCAAGAGAATTAGGGAACTGTCATTAGGGTTGATGTCGAGCAGAAAATCTCCTCCAAAGGGGAGCAACACGCTTAATGCGATCGTAGAGAGCAATGCTGTTGTTGCCGCATCATCCGATGAGCAACACTCCCCCGCAGAAATACTCAACAACAACAGCAGACAGAACGAACTGCTAGAGATGCACTCTATCGGCGGCGATCACGTAGTGATCAATAGCAGGCGAGTGGGCGGCGACGGTCAGCATTTAGTCGCGCCTGTGTTAGCACATCGCGTTCACAGGAAGAGGCACAGCGACGTGAACCGCATCTCCATGTGTCAGGAGCGGAGAGCGGCGAAGACGCTCGGCATCATCATGGGCTGTTTCGTCGTCTGCTGGCTCCCGTTCTTCCTCATCGCCCTCCTGATGCCGCTGTGCGAAAGCTGCGACGTACCGCCGCTGGTGATCACCGGCTTTACGTGGCTCGGCTACTTTAACTCGGCGCTTAACCCTATCATTTATACCTGCTTCAACGAAGATTTTCGTAAAGCCTTTGCACGTATACTTCATTCGAAGATATGCCTAATTAGCCACCTGAAGAATTGTGTGCTGCAGGTTCAGCCATCTCATTATGTCTGACCAACCCAGTACCTATATATGCGCGAGGCTGGGTATACTTTGGGGATACTGGCAAAATATTTAATAGCTTAAGTGGCTCAATCGTGTTATCTTTCGATGCCGCTGTTAATTTGCCATTATTGCGTTTGTGCGTGCGTGTGGGTAGGAGTGTCTGTGAGCGAGCGCGCGCATGTGGTGTCTGTACATGCGCACTTTCCGTGACTACATAGAAGTATTTTAATAAATTTAGTTTCCTATAAACGTACATATATTCAGATTTTATATTCATGTTCTCGTTGTTATGAAAATAATCTAAATAAAGGTAAAAGGTGCAATGTGATGAAATATAAACACGTTTTTGGGACGACCATTGCGTAGTCTATGCGTAGAGTAGTAAATCTTGCTATTGTGTAAAAAGCTTATATTGTTTATTATATATATTGTTTACATTAAACTTAACATTATATAATTTACTTTACATTGATAATAATGATTGATAATGATAATAATTGATAAAGAATTCATAATAATACATAATAATTTATTTATTGTTCATACTGCACATTGTGCAGCCAATATTTTCACATGTGCATTACAAAGGCTACCTATAAAATAACGGTATCAGGACAAATACCCCCCGGACAATTACCCCCGGACAATTACC